AAAAAAAAAAAGTGATATTAGACGCAACAGACGGGCAGATAAAAATGGAATAAAGGATTCAGTAGTTGACAATTAGTTTAATCAATTAAATTAATGTGAGTTAATAAACAGTAATTTTGGAATCCGTATGCTTTCCTTCCTTCATCTTCACGAGTCTCCTCTCTCCCATCCCCAATTCCAAAATTACGTCTCTCTGTTCTCAATAATCCGCAGGCACAGACTATAGCCGCTGAGCTTGCAAACCAATGCGCCATTGAAATTTGTCTGGGATAGAGAGATAGAGAGAAGATAATGGATCCTCCTACCTCATGGGACTCCTTGCGAAAACAGGTACACAATCACTCTTCATCTATCCCCCATTTGTTGCTCAATTCATCGCGATCTGTTTGAATTAAGGTTTTCATTTTAATGGAGTTTGTGTCAAATCGGATGTCGATGCAGAAAAATAAAATGCTAGATTTATGTTGTTATTTGGAATTTTCTTCCATCAATTTTTGTGTCAAATGCTCGTACTTTAATTTTCTCCAATTGTGGAATGATGAAAAAATTGACAGCATTTAGTTGTAGATGTTTTTTTTTAAAAAAAATTTGATCCTGGATCAAGCTTGTTATGATCAGGTAATTAAAATCATTGTATGATTTGTATAAATCTACATGTGATCTGTTATAATTTCTCTTTGTTTTGTTCGGATTCTGATGTTTATTCTTACTGTGTTTCTATCAGGCGAGGAAGATTGAGGCTCAGCTGGATGAGCAGATGCATTTATACCGTAAATTAGTTTCGACAAAAGTTGATAATTCTAGTGATAATGATGTGGAGTCTGGAATCGATCAGCTATTGAAACAGCTTCAACAAGTGAACATGCAAATGCAAGCTTGGGTTTCATCTGGAGGATCAGAAATCTTTTCTCATACATTGACTCGACATCAGGAGATTCTTCAGGATCTTACCCAGGTTAACAAACTTCTTATAACCTTGTACAATGTTGGAGCCCTAATTGGAAGCTGATTATGCCGTTTCTATCTTCTTTTTGGTGTCCGTGCACTTACTGTATGTTTACAGCGGGGGCTGACTGCTGGAACAAAACCTATCTGAAACTATAACTCAAATTTCTGATTATGAAAATATTTGATTGTGGTGAAGGCATGGTTATGCACCACGTGTTCTGAACTGTGTCATGGAAAGCCAGCTAGGGCGTATGTTTACAATGTGAACAGAACTTTCTTGAACGTCGGTATTGATGGTGCTTGTGATCCATACTAATGTAGAGCCTCCATGCAAATTTTTTAAAATTGCTTTATGTTGTTGTATTGAGATTTCTTATCAGCATCCTCTTTCACATGGCAAACATTTAGTGTTGATAAGGGACTCCCTCCTGCATTATTATCTTACGAGGTCTGGTTTTGGTATTCAGGAGTTTAATCGACTTAATTCCAGTCACAGAGCCAAGAAAGAGCATGCGTCACTGCTCGAGGATTTTAGGGAGTTTGATCGTACAAGATTAGACCTTGAAGATGGTGGTGGTTCCTATGAACAGTCCCTTCTCAAGGAGCGTGCTTCCATCCATAGAAGTACTGGCCAGGTGAGGTAGTCTGTTTATGTACTCTGTGAGCTGAAATACTAAGGTCAATGACTGGAAGTTAGTATCAAAGAGTTAAATTTCTGCACAAATATTTGAACAGAGGTGATATGGGTCTGTTCATTTGTTCAATAGGACCTCTCAACTGCCACTAAAAGTGCATGATAGTAGAGCTTAAGCACATGTGGAAATTTTCTCACTTGTAATAAAAATTATACACACTAGAATAGAACACAGAATCAATCTATTTTTGAAGTGTGTTACATCTGAAAAAGCCGCTCTACCATATCGCAAAAGTTAGAGTTTAGGTTTCTCTGGCAACCTCACTTGGTATGTTTTAGGTACAATTGTGGAAAGACTGGGTACTTGTAAAGAAAGTTGAGATATATTTGTCTGTCATGTTAATACACAAAAAGATAGCCGAAATTGACTGGGCCGTATTGCTACGAGTGAGGAGGCCACATAGGTCTAAAGAATCACCTGGAGTCAAATTGTTTCTTTCCTTTTTGTTTTCCCCTCTAATATATATTGAACTGAAAGAGTTGTTTAGCATATTGCAAAACACTGCTGTGAAAATGTTAGTCAGGAAATTAGGCCTATTTTTTTAGTTTTTATCACGAAGATTGAACATTTTATTTTCGAAAATAAGCCAAAAGGAATAACTCTAATTCTGAAGGTAACAGACTGAGATACTCTTAAATACTAACCTTATTTATCTAGATAGATTGCATGAATTTATCAATTTCGCTGCTTGATGGTGATATCATTTTAAAAGATCCGTAAATATATAAATAATTTATTTGTGTATAACGTGGTATTTGGTCACCTCAAGGTTAATAGTAGGTATGTTAATTCTCTTGCTTCAGATTAGCTATTTCTTTCCTCACATAACATTCAACAGGCAACCACCATTGTGTGCAGATAATTTTAGAAGTAACCTAGAAAATAGTTGACTGGATGGATGGTTGATGAGTTCTTATCTTATTCTATATTTGTTGCTTGAGTTATTAACGTATTGTATTCCTGTAGATGGACTCTGTGATATCGCAAGCACAAGAGACCTTAAAGTCCCTTGTCTTCCAACGTTCCACGTTTGGGGGTATCAATTCGAAGCTTAGTAATGTCAGCAGCCGTCTTCCCACTGTAAGGGAGTTAATAACATGCTATGCTTAATATATTAACAGAGCTAGAGAAACCATATGCACACTTGTGAAGTATCTAAATACTGTAGATACTGGATAAGGCACGTGTATTGTTATCAATTTGTTTATTTTGTACGTGTTGAATTTTGTAGGTGAATCATATCCTCTCGGCAATAAAGAAGAAAAAGTCGATGGACACCATCATACTTTCATTGGTTGCATCTGTCTGCACGTTTTTAATTTTAATATACTGGTGGACTAAGTAGGTAGTCTTCGCAAATATCTTGGTGGAGGTAATTGTTTTGTACATACCCTATTGGGTTGCCTCTGGATTTTGTAGTTCTCTTATGTTTGTGATGGAATGTTACATATTTGTCTCTCACAGCCCTTGAAGTTAAAGAAAGCAAGATATTCTTATTTGTATATTGTATTGTCAAAACTTCGCTTTTTGAGTTATGAGATTCCTACGAGTTTCAGGATGAAACATTGTTTTGTTTGTACGCGAATTTGGACATCATTCAACATGTGAGATTATTTGTGTTTTTTCTTTCTTTTTGTCCCTTTCTGGTTTTCAGTTTTGACGTTCTTAGCAAATGCACACATGTGGAGCAAACTTAGTCATCGCGATCACCATTTTGACCCATATACTCTATGACAACTTAACTACCTTCAAGGTGCAATTGATATCTTTACGAAAACAGTTTGGGACTGACGGGCCGATTCTGAACCGAGAACCACCACTTCCTTGAACCATATCCTCAAACCGGTTCTGATACACATAAAATGCAAACCTGAATCCTTCAGAACCGGCCATCGGCTATGTCTTAGCTGGGATATTTCATAACAAGATGACATTTTTTATTGGTGTATGAGATAACATGTTTGAAAATATATCTAATCGCTTATCAAACACATGGAAATAATTACTCACACCCTGGTCATCCAAATTGATCCAATTGCTTCTAAATGGGAATAATTTTATGTCCAGAACAAGGCCTCACATAAATTTTCTCCCCAAGGAAAAAGATTCAGAAACTTCACAGTGTATACAACTCATTGCACCTCAGTGAAACAAATAAAGCCCCATAACATCCTGTTGGTTTCACCAAAAACGCCAAAAGTATGAAACAAGAAAACCGATTGTAAATTCCTACACGCTTGCCGCTATATCCATATTCTTTTCTTCCGAACCACAATGAACAGATTCAATCTTTTCGCAGCTGCCACAAGAACCATATGCAGCCAAAGGATTTTTCGAAATGACCGTAAACAGGGTTAACGCGCTTCATGGTCAAAAGAGCCTTTAAATCCTGAATTACCACATAAAGCAATAGAAGATATGTCTACAAGGAAATGCACAGGCAGCAGAAAGTTACTCCATCTTCAGAAAACAATTGACCTTCCCTAACCAGCGTATCAGCTCAATCCTGTCTTTGTTCGCAATGTAGTTGTGCAAAAACAGGGTAAGTTTATCATTTACTCCCCTTGCATCCAGGAACTGGTAAAATCCAATCTGGAGATTCGTGTTCAGATTCCTGTTGCAACATGTGAATGACAAACAATGAGTTGATCGCATGCCAAGAACAAACAAACACGGAGAGACTGCATTAGCGCTCATAGTACAATATGGAGACCACATTTTGGCCTAAAACGTGAACTTCATGCTGGATTACTCCTCTGCATTTTCTGGAACAGTTTTACAAAAAGGGATCGACAGTACACCTTTGCACTATAAAATCCACTCATATCGAATGATTGGAACACAACCGAAATAAGTAACTTGAAAACTTGGCTGCCAAACAAGACTATCCTACTCCGGCCGTACCATTTTAATAGTCTCATTTTCACGCACTAAGAAAATGTAGCCAAATTCCATAGTAAATGGATAAATAACACGATTCTTATTATAAACATTTATTTACACCAACTCTAATATTATTTTACTTCGACAAGTAGGAAATAATATCATTAAATAGGGGTATAAGGAGGAATAAAAATTAAACATGCCTTGTACAAACAAAAGAGGCTACTGTTTGGGACAAGAGAATGTGGAGAAAGAGGACTATAAAATCAGAGCACAGGTAGTATTTTCCAAGTTCATGCAAACAATTCACATTATAAATCTAAGCATCATCGATTACTATAAAATCCTCAGCAATCGACGTTATAAGTCATCACACTAACATGAAGCAAATATTAATAAGGCAACTAAAAAGAGAGAGACTTTATAATGGAATCAAAAGGTAGCAAGCAATAAACAACTCATACTTGAAATCAGGACCCATGTAGAATCGAGCTGAAGATTCGTCATGTCGGTATACAAACACTTTCTGAATTTCCAACGAACCGGGCCAGGCCGAGCAAACAAATTTTATTGCATCACTCCTTTCTCCTTTGCGCACATCGACCAACATGCTAATATGAAAACGCGGATTTTCCCGAGTGCCCCTTTCGTCCACAATTCGATCAACCATGAACCCATCAAACATAGTCGCATCAATTTTTATACTCTCATCCTCTGTCGATTTCCCACTCAACGTGATTAACAGCTGACCAGGTCGGTCTTCAACCGAGAACCCATTGTACTCAGTTAGAGGCTACAAATGCAACAGCAAACGCAGAAAGAGAGAAACCCCATATCAGAACATATGTAAACAACCAACTTCAACCAGTTGTGCCCGGCATTAGAGTAACCAAAAGGGTAAAAGCCATAAAATTTTAAGCAAGACAAATAAATAAACCAGGCTAGAGTCGAATATTTCCTCGCTTTGAGAAATAGAAAACCCTCTTTTCTTATGATTTACAATCGCGTGTACTCGCAAAAATCGAAAGGTAACCTGGTGAGGAGGAGCGTAATCGCACTGGTATTGGATCTCATTACTCAGCAACCTCTGCATTTTGGACTGCAATGGCGAATAGGGCAAAAAAGCGTTATCGGGCGAGTTGTGGGCCCCGCGCCGCAGAATGGTGGAGCACATGGATTTGATGAAGGGGCAAGCTCTGCGGCGGCCACTGATAAGAGCTCCGCCGCTCATTGCAATTATTTCAGCTGAACTGTCTTCGTTCTCGCCTGGCACTGGCAATCCGACATTTATAGGGTTCTTACTTTATTTGGGGAAAATTAGAACTTCTCACTAACATACAAAGTTATTTAGGGTCAAAATCTTTTTCACCCCATTATATATCTATTCTTTTTTTTTTCACACCACCCCGTCAAATAACTTCTTTTACACCCTAGAATTCACGAAATGCTATGCGATATTACACTCGCATGTCCAAATGAACCAGCGCA